CTGTGCGTAGCATTGTGTAGTGCCGTATAGTACTTTGTGTAGCATTGTGTAGTGCCGTATAGTACTTTGTGTAGCATTGTGTAGTGCCGTATAGTACTGTGTAGCATTGTGTAGTGCCGTATAGTACTGTGCGTAGCATTGTGTAGTGCCGTATAGTACTTTGTGTAGCATTGTGTAGTGCCGTATAGTACTTTGTGTAGCATTGTGTAGTGCCGTATAGTACTGTGTAGCATTGTGTAGTGCCGTATAGTACTGTGTGTAGCAGTGTGTAGTGCCGTATAGTACTGTGTAGCATTGTGTAGTGCCGTATAGTACTGTGTAGCATTGTGTAGTGCCGTATAGTACTGTGTAGCATTGTGTAGTGCCGTATAGTACTGTGTGTAGCATTGTGTAGTGCCGTATAGTACTGTGTGTAGCATTGTGTAGTGCCGTTTAGTACTGTGTGTAGCAGTGTGTAGTGCCGTATAGTACTGTGCGTAGCATTGTGTAGTGCCGTATAGTACTTTGTGTAGCATTGTGTAGTGCCGTATAGTACTTTGTGTAGCATTGTGTAGTGCCGTATAGTACTTTGTGTAGCATTGTGTAGTGCCGTATAGTACTGTGCGTAGTATTGTGTAGTGCCGTTTAGTACTGTGTGTAGCAGTGTGTAGTGCCGTACAGTACTTTGTGTAGCATTGTGTAGTGCCGTATAGTACTTTGTGTAGCATTGTGTAGTGCCGTTTAGTACTGTGTGTAGCAGTGTGTAGTGCCGTATAGTACTTTGTGTAGCATTGTGTAGTGCCGTTTAGTACTTTGTGTAGCATTGTGTAGTGCCGTATAGTACTTTGTGTAGCATTGTGTAGTGCCGTTTAGTACTTTGTGTAGCATTGTGTAGTGCCGTATAGTACTTTGTGTAGCATTGTGTAGTGCCGTATAGTACTGTGTGTAGCAGTGTGTAGTGCCGTATAGTACTGTGTGTAGCAGTGTGTAGTGCCGTATAGTACTGTGTGTAGCAGTGTGTAGTGCCGTTTAGTACTGTGTGTAGTGCCGTATAGTACTGTGTGTAGCATTGTGTAGTGCCGTATAGTACTTTGTGTAGCATTGTGTAGTGCTGTATAGTACTGTGTGTAGTGCCGTTTAGTACTGTGTGTAGTGCCGTTTAGTACTGTGTGTAGCAGTGTGTAGTGCCATATAGTACTGTGTGTAGCAGTGTGTAGTACCGTATAGTACTGTGTGTAGCATTGTGTAGTGCCGTATAGTACTGTGTGTAGCATTGTGTAGTGCCGTATAGTACTGTGTGTAGCAGTGTGTAGTGCCGTATAGTAGTGTGTGTAGCAGTGTGTAGTGCCGTATAGTAGTGTGTGTAGCAGTGTGTAGTGCCGTATAGTACTGTGTGTAGCAGTGTGTAGTGCCGTATAGTAGTGTGTGTAGCAGTGTGTAGTGTCGTATAGTACTGTGTGTAGCAGTGTAGTGCCGTATAGTACTGTGTGTAGCATTGTGTAGTGCCGTATAGTACTGTGTGTAGCAGTGTGTAGTGCCGTATAGTACTGTGTGTAGCAGTGTGTAGTGCCGTATAGTAGTGTGTGTAGCAGTGTGTAGTGCCGTATAGTACTGTGTGTAGCAGTGTGTAGTGCCGTATAGTACTGTGTGTAGCAGTGTGTAGTGCCGTATAGTACTGTGTGTAGTAGTGTGTAGTGCCGTATAGTAGTGTGTGTAGCAGTGTGTAGTGCCGTATAGTAGTGTGTGTAGCAGTGTGTAGTGCCGTATAGTACTGTGTGTAGCAGTGTGTAGTGCCGTATAGTACTGTGTGTAGCAGTGTGTAGTGCCGTATAGTACTGTGTGTAGTAGTGTGTAGTGCCGTATAGTACTGTGTGTAGCAGTGTGTAGTGCCGTATAGTACTGTGTGTAGCAGTGTGTAGTACCGTATAGTACTGTGTGTAGCATTGTGTAGTGCCGTATAGTAGTGTGTGTAGCATTGTGTAGTGCCGTATAGTACTGTGTGTAGCAGTGTGTAGTGCCGTATAGTACTGTGTGTAGCATTGTGTAGTGCCGTATAGTACTGTGTGTAGCAGTGTGTAGTGCCGTATAGTACTGTGTGTAGCAGTGTGTAGTGCCGTATAGTACTGTGTGTAGCATTGTGTAGTGCCGTATAGTACTGTGTGTAGCAGTGTGTAGTGCCGTATAGTAGTGTGTGTAGCAGTGTGTAGTGCCGTATAGTAGTGTGTGTAGCAGTGTGTAGTGCCGTATAGTACTGTGTGTAGCAGTGTGTAGTGCCGTATAGTAGTGTGTGTAGCAGTGTGTAGTGCCGTATAGTAGTGTGTGTAGCAGTGTGTAGTGCCGTATAGTACTGTGTGTAGCAGTGTGTAGTGCCGTATAGTAGTGTGTGTAGCAGTGTGTAGTGTCGTATAGTACTGTGTGTAGCAGTGTAGTGCCGTATAGTACTGTGTGTAGCATTGTGTAGTGCCGTATAGTACTGTGTGTAGCAGAGTGTAGTGCCGTATAGTACTGTGTGTAGCAGTGTGTAGTGCCGTATAGTAGTGTGTGTAGCAGTGTGTAGTGCCGTATAGTACTGTGTGTAGCAGTGTGTAGTGCCGTATAGTACTGTGTGTAGCAGTGTGTAGTGCCGTATAGTACTGTGTGTAGTAGTGTGTAGTGCCGTATAGTAGTGTGTGTAGCAGTGTGTAGTGCCGTATAGTAGTGTGTGTAGCAGTGTGTAGTGCCGTATAGTACTGTGTGTAGCAGTGTGTAGTGCCGTATAGTACTGTGTGTAGCAGTGTGTAGTGCCGTATAGTACTGTGTGTAGTAGTGTGTAGTGCCGTATAGTACTGTGTGTAGCAGTGTGTAGTGCCGTATAGTACTGTGTGTAGCAGTGTGTAGTGCCGTATAGTACTGTGTGTAGCAGTGTGTAGTGCCGTATAGTACTGTGTGTAGCAGTGTGTAGTGCCGTTTAGTACTGTGTGTAGCAGTGTGTAGTGCCGTATAGTAGTGTGTGTAGCAGTGTGTAGTGCCGTATAGTACTGTGTGTAGCAGTGTGTAGTGCCGTTTAGTACTGTGTGTAGTGCCGTATAGTACTGTGTGTAGCAGTGTGTAGTGCCGTATAGTACTGTGTGTAGTAGTGTGTAGTGCTGTATAGTACTGTGTGTAGTAGTGTGTAGTGCTGTATAGTACTGTGTGTAGCAGTGTGTAGTGATGTATAGTACTGTGTGTAGCAGTGTGTAGTGCTGTATAGTACTGTGTGTAGTAGTGTGTAGTGCTGTATAGTACTGTTTGTAGCAGTGTGTAGTGCCGTATAGTACTGTGTGTAGTAGTGTGTAGTGCTGTATAGTACTGTGTGTAGCAGTGTGTAGTGCTGTACAGTACTGTGTGTAGCAGTGTGTAGTGCCGTATAGTACTGTGTGTAGCAGTGTGTAGTGCCGTTTAGTACTGTGTGTAGTGCCGTATAGTACTGTGTGTAGTGCCGTATAGTACTGTGTGTAGCAGTGTGTAGTGCCGTATAGTACTGTGTGTAGTGCCGTTTAGTACTGTGTGTAGTGCCGTATAGTACTGTGTGTAGCAGTGTGTAGTGCCGTATAGTACTGTGTGTAGCAGTGTGTAGTGCTGTATAGTACTGTGTGTAGCAGTGTGTAGTGCCGTATAGTACTGTGTGTAGCAGTGTGTAGTGCAGTATAGTACTGTGTGTAGCAGTCTGTAGTGCCGTATAGTACTGTGTGTAGCAGTGTGTAGTGCTGTATAGTACTGTGTGTAGCAGTGTGTAGTGCCGTATAGTACTGTGTGTAGCAGTGTGTAGTGCAGTATAGTACTGTGTGTAGCAGTCTGTAGTGCCGTATAGTACTGTGTGTAGCAGTGTGTAGTGCCGTTTAGTACTGTGTGTAGTGCCGTTTAGTACTGTGTGTAGTGCCGTATAGTACTGTGTGTAGTAGTGTGTAGTGCCGTATAGTACTGTGTGTAGTGCCGTTTAGTACTGTGCGTTGTGCCGTTTAGTACTGTGTGTAGTGCCGTTTAGTACTGTGTGTAGTGCCGTTTAGTACTGTGTGTAGTGCCGTATAGTACTGTGTGTAGCAGTGTGTAGTGCCGTATAGTACTGTGTGTAGTGCCGTTTAGTACTGTGTGTAGTGCCGTATAGTACTGTGTGTAGCAGTGTGTAGTGCCGTATAGTACTGTGTGTAGCAGTGTGTAGTGCCGTTTAGTACTGTGTGTAGTGCCGTATAGTACTGTGTGTAGCAGTGTGTAGTGCCGTTTAGTACTGTGCGTAGTGCCGTTTAGTACTGTGTGTAGTGCTGTATAGTACTGTGTGTAGTAGTGTGTAGTGCCGTATAGTACTGTGTGTAGTAGTGTGTAGTGCTGTATAGTACTGTGTGTAGTAGTGTGTAGTGCCGTTTAGTACTGTGTGTAGTGCCGTTTAGTACTGTGTGTAGTGCTGTATAGTACTGTGTGTAGCAGTGTGTAGTGCCGTATAGTACTGTGTGTAGTGCCGTTTAGTACTGTGTGTAGTGCTGTATAGTACTGTGTGTAGTAGTGTGTAGTGCCGTTTAGTACTGTGTGTAGTAGTGTGTAGTGCCGTTTAGTACTGTGTGTAGCAGTGTGTAGTGCCGTATAGTACTTTGTGTAGCATTGTGTAGTACCATGTTTTACTGTGTGTAGTAGTGTGTAGTGCCGTATAGTACTGTGTGTAGCAGTGTGTAGTGCCGTATAGTACTGTGTGTAGCAGTGTGTAGTGCCGTATAGTACTGTGTGTAGCATTGTGTAGTGCCGTATAGTACTGTGTGTAGCAGTGTGTAGTACCATGTTTTACTGTGTGTAGTAGTGTGTAGTGCCGTATAGTACTGTGTGTAGCAGTGTGTAGTGCTGTATAGTACTGTGTGTAGTAGTGTGTAGTGCTGTATAGTACTGTGTGTAGCAGTGTGTAGTGCTGTATAGTACTGTGTGTAGCAGTGTGTAGTGCTGTATAGTACTGTGTGTAGTAGTTTGTAGTGCTGTATAGTACTGTGTGTAGTAGTGTGTAGTACTGCACGCAGCCTTACAGGCAGTGGACCACGGTGCGTCCCTCGCCGCCGTCGTACTCGTCCTGCCACTTGTCCACCTGATGGACCAGTTTGAGGAAGGAGAGCTTGGAGACGGGCGTGTCGCGGTACATGGGCCAGCCCAGGAACTGGAATTGCTGCACCATGCGGAACCCGTCTTGCGGCTGAGGACACAGACAGGAGAACGGCCATCAGACAGAGGTAGGGGGACGTGGGGGACAGTGGGGACAGTAGGGGACGTGGGAGATTGGACAGGCAGAGACCGTCTGACAGTGAATCCAGCAGGCAGGGAGGACAAAGGGTTAAAACAAAACACACAGTGCTGGGGGGCGGGTGGAGACGCGGGTCTGGATCAAACACCTCAGGTATTTGATGAGACACAGGGAGGAAATGAAGTGTAAACTCAGCCTGACTGGGAGGTGAAGATGATCGAATCAAACACAGCCTGATCTAAATTTAGTGAAACAGCCCAGAAAGAGGATGTTTGGATCAAACAGCTTCTGATCCAACAGAACCTCTCCCCTCTGCTGATAATCACACGCTTCCTTCCTCATTATCATTATCAAACTTTCCGACATACAGGTGGGACTCCTTTCTGGCTCCTCCCCCTGAGCATATATGGCTGCCAGCAGCACCAGAACACCAACAGGAAGCTTCGTTTGCAGAATAAACTGTGTGGAGGGCTGAGAATTCAACAAACTCCTCTGGAGCTGGACACCTGTCAGGGAGGGGGAGGTGGTAAGCTCAAACGCACCCTGGCTGTGTTGTAGATCCTGAAGATGCGGCTGATGACGTCCTCCTCTAGGTCAGCAGAAACAAACTCCACCTGCAGGGAGCCGAGGCGGTGGAGGCCGTTCTCTGGCCAGTACTGAGGACACAGCTGAAAAACAGAGACATCAAGAAAGACCTCAGAGAGATTTCAAAAAGACCTCAGAGAGACCTCAGAGAGAACTCAGAGAGACCTCAGAGAGAACTCAAAAAGACATCAAAAAGACCTCAGAGAGACATAAGAAAGACCTCAGAGACTTCAGATAGACCTCATAAAGACCTCAGAGAGACCTCAGAGAGAACTCAGAGAGACCTCAGAGAGAACTCAGAGAGACCTCAGAGAGAACTCAAAAAGACATCAAAAAGACCTCAGAGAGACATAAGAAAGACCTCAGAGACTTCAGATAGACCTCATAAAGACCTCAGAAAGACCTCAGAGAGACCTCAAAAAGACCTCAGAAAGAACTCAGAAATACCTCAGAAAGACCTCAGAAAGAACTCAGAGAGACCTCAGAAAGAACTCAGAAAGACCTCAGAGAGACCTCAGATAGACCTCATAAAGACCTCAGAAAGACCTCAGAAAGAACTCAGAAAGACCTCAGAGAGACCTTGGAAAGAACTCAGAAAGACCTCAGAGAGACCTCGGGAAGATCTCAGATAGACCTCATATAGACCTCAGAAAGACCTCAGAGACTTCAGATAGACCTCATAAAGACCTCAAAAAGACCTCAGAAAGAACTCAGAAAGACCTCAGAGAGACCTCAGAAAGAACTCAGAAAGACCTCAGAGAGACCTCAGAAAGAACTCAGAAAGACCTCAGAGAGACCTCAAAAAGACATCCAAAAGAACTCAGAGAGACCTCAGAAAGAACTCAGAAAGACCTCAGAGAGACCTCAGGAAGATCTCAGAGAGACCTTAGAAAGACCCCAGAAAGACCTCAGGAAGACCTCAGAGAGATTTAAAAAATACCTCATAAAGACCTCAGAGACTTCAGATAGACCTCATATAGACCTCAGAAAGACCTCAGACTTCAGATAGACCTCATAAAGACCTCAAAAATACCTCAGAAAGAACTCAGAAAGACCTCAGAGAGACCTCAGAAAGAACTCAGAAAGACCTCAGAGAGACCTCAGAGACTTCAGATAGACCTCATAAAGTCCTCAGAAAGACCTCAGAGACCTCAGAAAGAACTCAGAAAGACCTCAGGAAGATCTCAGAGAGACCTTAGAAAGACCCCAGAAAGACCTCAGGAAGACCTCAGAGAGATTTCAAAAAGACCTCAGAAAGAACTCAGAAAGACCTCAGAGAGACCTCAAAAAGACATCCAAAAGAACTCAGAGAGACCTCAGAAAGAACTCAGAAAGACCTCAGAGAGAACTCAGAGAGACCTCAGAGAGAACTCAAAAAGACATCAAAAAGACCTCAGAGAGACATAAGAAAGACCTCAGAGACTTCAGATAGACCTCATAAAGACCTCAGAGAGACCTCAGAGAGAACTCAGAGAGACCTCAGAGAGAACTCAGAGAGACCTCAGAGAGAACTCAAAAAGACATCAAAAAGACCTCAGAGAGACATAAGAAAGACCTCAGAGACTTCAGATAGACCTCATAAAGACCTCAGAAAGACCTCAGAGAGACCTCAAAAAGACCTCAGAAAGAACTCAGAAATACCTCAGAAAGACCTCAGAAAGAACTCAGAGAGACCTCAGAAAGAACTCAGAGAGACCTCAGAAAGAACTCAGAAAGACCTCAGAGAGACCTCAGATAGACCTCATAAAGACCTCAGAAAGACCTCAGAAAGAACTCAGAAAGACCTCAGAGAGACCTTGGAAAGAACTCAGAAAGACCTCAGAGAGACCTCGGGAAGATCTCAGATAGACCTCATATAGACCTCAGAAAGACCTCAGAGACTTCAGATAGACCTCATAAAGACCTCAAAAAGACCTCAGAAAGAACTCAGAAAGACCTCAGAGAGACCTCAGAAAGAACTCAGAAAGACCTCAGAGAGACCTCAGAAAGAACTCAGAAAGACCTCAGAGAGACCTCAAAAAGACATCCAAAAGAACTCAGAGAGACCTCAGAAAGAACTCAGAAAGACCTCAGAGAGACCTCAGGAAGATCTCAGAGAGACCTTAGAAAGACCCCAGAAAGACCTCAGGAAGACCTCAGAGAGATTTAAAAAATACCTCATAAAGACCTCAGAGACTTCAGATAGACCTCATATAGACCTCAGAAAGACCTCAGACTTCAGATAGACCTCATAAAGACCTCAAAAAGACCTCAGAAAGAACTCAGAAAGACCTCAGAGAGACCTCAGAAAGAACTCAGAAAGACCTCAGAGAGACCTCAGAGACTTCAGATAGACCTCATAAAGTCCTCAGAAAGACCTCAGAGACCTCAGAAAGAACTCAGAAAGACCTCAGGAAGATCTCAGAGAGACCTTAGAAAGACCCCAGAAAGACCTCAGGAAGACCTCAGAGAGATTTCAAAAAGACCTCAGAAAGAACTCAGAAAGACCTCAGAGAGACCTCAAAAAGACATCCAAAAGAACTCAGAGAGACCTCAGAAAGAACTCAGAAAGACCTCAGAGAGACCTCGGGAAGATCTCAGAGAGACCTTAGAAAGACCCCAGAAAGACCTCAGGAAGACCTCAGAGAGATTTAAAAAATACCTCATAAAGACCTCAGAGACTTCAGATAGACCTCATATAGACCTGAGAAAGACCTCAGAGACTTCAGATAGACCTCATAAAGACCTCAAAAAGACCTCAGAAAGAACTCAGAAAGACCTCAGAGAGACCTCAGAAAGAACTCAGAAAGACCTCAGTGAGACCTCAGAAAGAACTCAGAAAGAACTCAGAGAGACCTCAGAAAGAACTCAGAAAGACCTCAGAGAGACCTCAGAGACTTCAGATAGACCTCATAAAGTCCTCAGAAAGACCTCAGAGACCTCAGAAAGACCTCAGAAAGACCTCAGAGAGACCTCAAAAAGACATCCAAAAGAACTCAGAGAGACCTCAGAAAGAACTCAGAAAGACCTCAGAGAGACCTCGGGAAGATCTCAGAGAGACCTTAGAAAGACCCCAGAAAGACCTCAGGAAGAACTCAGAAAGACCTCAGAGAGACCTCAGAAAGAACTCAGAAAGACCTCAGAGAGACCTCAGAGACTTCAGATAGACCTCATAAAGTCCTCAGAAAGACCTCAGAGACCTCAGAAAGGACCTCAGAAAGACCTCAGAGAGACCTCAAAAAGACATCCAAAAGAACTCAGAGAGACCTCAGAAAGAACTCAGAAAGACCTCAGAGAGACCTCGGGAAGATCTCAGAGAGACCTTAGAAAGACCCCAGAAAGACCTCAGGAAGAACTCAGAAAGACCTCAGAGAGACCTCAGAAAGAACTCAGAAAGACCTCAGAGAGACCTCAGAAAGACCTCAGGAAGATCTCAGAGAGACCTTAGAAAGACCCCAGAAAGACCTCAGGAAGACCTCAGAGAGATTTCAAAAAGACCTCAGAAAGAACTCAGAAAGACCTCAGAGAGACCTCGGGAAGATCTCAGAGAGACCTTAGAAAGACCCCAGAAAGACCTCAGGAAGACCTCAGAGAGATTTAAAAAATACCTCATAAAGACCTCAGAGACTTCAGTTAGACCTCATATAGACCTCAGAAAGACCTCAGAGACTTCAGATAGACCTCATAAAGACCTCAAAAAGACCTCAGAAAGAACTCAGAAAGACCTCAGAGAGACCTCAGAAAGAACTCAGAAAGACCTCAGAGAGACCTCAGAAAGAACTCAGAAAGACCTCAGAGAGACCTCAGAAAGAACTCAGAAAGACCTCAGAGAGACCTCAAAAAGACATCCAAAAGAACTCAGAGAGACCTCAGAAAGAACTCAGAAAGACCTCAGAGAGACCTCAGGAAGATCTCAGAGAGACCTTAGAAAGACCCCAGAAAGACCTCAGGAAGACCTCAGAGAGATTTAAAAAATACCTCATAAAGACCTCAGAGACTTCAGATAGACCTCATATAGACCTCAGAAAGACCTCAGACTTCAGATAGACCTCATAAAGACCTCAAAAAGACCTCAGAAAGAACTCAGAAAGACCTCAGAGAGACCTCAGAAAGAACTCAGAAAGACCTCAGAGAGACCTCAGAGACTTCAGATAGACCTCATAAAGTCCTCAGAAAGACCTCAGAGACCTCAGAAAGAACTCAGAAAGACCTCAGGAAGATCTCAGAGAGACCTTAGAAAGACCCCAGAAAGACCTCAGGAAGACCTCAGAGAGATTTCAAAAAGACCTCAGAAAGAACTCAGAAAGACCTCAGAGAGACCTCAAAAAGACATCCAAAAGAACTCAGAGAGACCTCAGAAAGAACTCAGAAAGACCTCAGAGAGAACTCAGAGAGACCTCAGAGAGAACTCAAAAAGACATCAAAAAGACCTCAGAGAGACATAAGAAAGACCTCAGAGACTTCAGATAGACCTCATAAAGACCTCAGAGAGACCTCAGAGAGAACTCAGAGAGACCTCAGAGAGAACTCAGAGAGACCTCAGAGAGAACTCAAAAAGACATCAAAAAGACCTCAGAGAGACATAAGAAAGACCTCAGAGACTTCAGATAGACCTCATAAAGACCTCAGAAAGACCTCAGAGAGACCTCAAAAAGACCTCAGAAAGAACTCAGAAATACCTCAGAAAGACCTCAGAAAGAACTCAGAGAGACCTCAGAAAGAACTCAGAAAGACCTCAGAGACCTCAGATAGACCTCATAAAGACCTCAGAAAGACCTCAGAAAGAACTCAGAAAGACCTCAGATAGACCTCATAAAGACCTCAGAAAGACCTCAGAAAGAACTCAGAAAGACCTCAGAGAGACCTTGGAAAGAACTCAGAAAGACCTCAGAGACTTCAGATAGACCTCATAAAGACCTCAAAAAGACCTCAGAAAGAACTCAGAAAGACCTCAGAGAGACCTCAGAAAGAACTCAGAAAGACCTCAGAGAGACCTCAGAAAGAACTCAGAAAGACCTCAGAGAGACCTCAAAAAGACATCCAAAAGAACTCAGAGAGACCTCAGAAAGAACTCAGAAAGACCTCAGAGAGACCTCAGAAAGAT